TATATATATATATATATATATATATATATATAAATTATTAAAGAGTGTGACCAGACAATTCAGACAGATAGTTTGTAATTGTCTGGTAAAGAGAATCTCTTAACTGAATGGCACATATCAAATGAAACGTGACGTGAAAATAAATGCTAAGAGTTTGTACACAATGCAGATATGACCCCCGGCGAATACGAATCTGCGCTTGAACAGAAATAGAGGCCATCAACAAGTGCGAGATGCATAGAAAATCAGACGACAGAATGGAAATGTTCTTAGATTGTGTCTGGTGAAAGACTGAACAATGCAAAATTTAGCCTGCAAAACTTTCAAGAAGGGGGTCTAAAAAGTTAGAAAATGTCAGCATGAAAGTAGACCAAAAAAAGAAACATTTGATACATGTGAAGATGATGAGGGTAGTGACAAAAACCTTAATTATGATGATATTAAGGTACAAGAAAATAATAGTTCAACAATAACTCTTTAACATCTCTATCAAGTCAGTTTTCCAGTGATTAAAACATAATTAAATTAGTTAGTATGGCAAAAACTACTGCTTAATAAATAAATAAATAAATACATAGACAAAGCAGTGGCAACATTCCATGCCCTGCGAAAAGAGGCTTTTGTTTTTAACATTCAAAATGTCATCAACATTTCTCATACTTGTCTCCCCTTTAACTTTCCTTAAAATGCCTTTGTGTTTTTGAAAGTAAACATGGTAATCAGGAGATGCACTATATGATGTTTAGAAATGAAGTAAGTTCATTTTGACATGATTTATCTAAATTATTGTATTATCCAAATATTGTAATGTTTGTATTAAACTGTTAATTTATTTTCTTGTGATGAAAAAAATTGGACTTTATCATGTTCTGATAAAAATAGTAGTAAAATTTGAAGTTCTCAATCAATTTTGTGTAGGCTAATAAAATGTCTTTGTATGCAGAAAGTGGATTTCTTGGAATTTTAATTTTTGAAATATTTTCATTTACATACATCTTACAATAGCCGAACTTTCAACTTACAATAGCATAACTTTACTGAACACTATTAATGAATCAATATTATTATTATTAGTATTAGTATTAGTGTTTAAATTTTTTACATTTATTGTTTTAAATGTTCAATGTCATTACTCACTACAGCAGCTTTTTGCAGTAAATCTGTTATTACACCCAACTCCTCAGGAGTCTTGAGCTGAACTCGAAAATTCAATTTTTCAGGCAAAATTAAATATTCCGAAAGAGTTTATGACGCATGCATGGAGGCATTTGACTGTCTCCCATTAGCAGCCCTCATGAATCAGCAGTTCCTCTGTGTGCATGGTGGTTTATCTCCTGAAATTCATAATCTTGATGATATACGAAAGGTAGGTTGATATGAAAGTATTATTGTTAATTATGTAATATTTATTGTGGTATTATTATTATTATTATTATTATTATTATTATTATTATTATTATTATTATTATTATTATTATTATTATTATTATTTTCATATCCTTTATCAGTGATGCAAAGTTGTAAATATTTATAACAATAAAATTGATAGACTGATTTATTGAAAAATGTTTACCACTAATTGAGGGGTTGGGTGGAAGAAGAGTGTTACTCAAATAATGGCTTTTATCCGTAAAACATTTCAAAACATTCTTTAGGTGACTTTCTATGTCCCCTCCAGATAGTACTGCGCTCCCTCTAATAGATGACATTTGAGGGACTTTTGAAATCTGAATTGCGCCCTTTTTTTCATAACATCATTACCTCTATGTTCTTGCCTCATTTGTTTCCCGGTTTTAGAACATCGGCAGGAAGGCTGTGAATACAGATGTGAATTTTTCCAATATATCTGATTTTTCATCAAATCATTGAGTGTAACTGTTATGAATTTTCGTGCGATATGTACATTTTTTTAATTTATATGAGAAATACAGCTTGTGCACAGTTTTTCTTGATTATCTCAAAACTGTGTTTTAAGAATTACGCCCTTCTTTCATCCAACCCCTCGATTAAGATTGTATTAATAGAAACATTTAGAAAATTACCATTCAATTAATTTAAAACATGACAGACCAGGCAGAAACAAACAAATTGAATTTATTTATCAAATTGTTACAGTTAGACAGGTTCAAGGAGCCTCCTGCCTTTGGGCCCATGTGTGATCTGCTTTGGTCAGACCCATTAGAAGATTTTGGCAGCGAGAAGAATGCTGAACATTTTAGCCATAACAGTGTTAGAGGTTGCTCCTATTTTTACAGGTCTGATGCAATGTTTCTAATTTTGATAATTAATATGTAATGTACTAAATCTTCATTTTAACATAGAATTATTTGCTGTAAGATAACAATTGTGTAAGTGAACGGAGAACGTTATTTATGTATTAACATGGTTGTTAATGAAATTTTATTTTTTACTGAACTTTTTACAAATCTCAATATAATCTTATTTCAGATGAATTTTAAACACACATTAAGAGCTCAAACTTCATTGAATTATTAGACTTGCATACTGCCTTCATCATTGTAAAAGTGTATTTGATAAACAGTACGATTCTCTGTTAACCTCCAGCATTCAAGCACAAGAAACATTCCTACAGAGTATATTGTCCCTCCATAATCCTCTATTAACAAATACTTATTATGTGTTTCATATGAAAATTTTAAATTAAAATAAAAAATTCAGTAAAAAGTAAAAATAGTTTTGAGAAAAAATTAAAAAATTGTGATCTTGTTTAATATATGATTGTTTCTTATCTTTACTTAAACTCATCGTGTTTTCAATAAACTTAACTTTTTAAAACATAATTGCATTTCTTTCTCTCCTAGCTATGCAGCGTGCTGTGACTTCTTACAGAACAACAACCTATTATCCATCATTCGTGCTCATGAAGCTCAGGATGCTGGGTGAGTCATCAAAACTTTGTTTCAGAACAATAATTAATACATTTTTACTATATTGAATGTGATAAAATTAAATCTTAACCATTGCAGTTACCGAATGTATAGGAAAAGCCAGACCACAGGCTTCCCTTCTCTTATCACAATCTTCTCTGCACCTAATTATTTGGATGTATACAATAACAAGGTATGTTCTGTCTTAAAGTATGACTGTCTTTTAAGATCCAAATTTCTTTGGACTCCAATCGTACAATAAAATAATATCTAGTGAAACAGTGAAAGTAACTTGAAATTGATGAAGTAATAATTCAGTCTATTTTTGTAAGTTTATTTTATTTGTGACAATCGGGATTTTTAAGAACTGAAGAAAAAAGTTTACTACTTTTGTAGTATGTAGTTTATCTGTTTATTCACGTTTCGAAGACGAGTGTCTCTTCGTACCTTTCTTGTCGAAAATTCAGTTTGCAATCATGAAGTGGATGTATATTGAAAGAACCAAGTGGTTACTATTTCAGATAGTATGAAGGAATAAGAATTTTAAACAAAGGTTTCACTTTTTTTTTATATTTCTCTTCATATATCCAGAATTTGAATGAGGTTTGGTTTTGTAGTCTATGAAGGTGTGATATTTGACTCTCATTGCTGTTGGACTGCAAAGCCCATGTAGGCTCAACTGGCAACACATCAACTGAAGAACAAGTAAAGGAGAAGTGAGGGAGATATTTATAATTTAAAAGTTTAACTACATTGAATGGCATAGATTTCAGAAGTTTCCATTTTATGTATAATATTATCATAAGTTATTCTGAAACACTTATTTTCTGATATTTCTGCATTCGTAGATTTGTTTAATTTTATGTGTAAGGTTTCTGATATAAGTCTTCAGGTTTTCTTGGATTCTATGTTGATTATATGTACATTCTCAAAATCTAAATTATGACCTTTATACGAGGGATGAGCAGTTATGGAGTTTTGTTTATGTGTTACATGACGTATCACTTGTGCACACCCTATCAAACTGCATAACTTTGGAGCTTAAAAAAAAATGAAAAATATCTTTTGACTGGGATCAAAATGAAAAACCAAAAGCCCTGCTCAACGTAGTGAGGAAGGTTGAAGATCAGATATTGTGGGTTTTCTTTACATACTTTTAGAAATTGAATCCCATCGTCTGATTTAGTTTATTTCATTTCTAAATGTTTTCTTACATTTTTGAAATATTTCAACCATCTTGAATGACAATTTCACTTTAGAATTCCCATTAACTCTCACCATTGTTGTGGAGTGTTCACCTCTTCTCTTTTTCTGTCTCTTGGCAAGAACGTGTGACATAGAAACATCTATTGTATTTTGTCGAATTGCCTTTTATGAATTATAGTACAAAACATGTAGAGGTTGACAGATAGTATGTGAATAGGTGATTGATAAGGGATAGATAATAAAAGGGAGCCAAGTCACAATTGAAGATATTTTAGAATAATAGAAAACCTAAAAATTGAACCAGATTGGAATTTTTTTTACATGCGCATGTGCTGACACACATTCACAGACCCATTCTCGCCTATATATGCGAGTATAATGTCATGTAATAACATTATCAGAGCTTGAAATATGAAGTAATATTTGTTTTCTTCCCCTGTGTGAAACTATTTTTCTTACTTCATTTTAATATTTCTTAAATTCAGGATGTCATGGAAGTTAAATTTTTTCCTGTTCGCGAGAGTTCATGAGGATATCAACTGCTTTCATTGCTTGACTTATGTGAATTTTTTCTTCTTTAGAGCCAAAACTGTCATCATTGTCACTCTCATCATCACCCTAATGTGAGGTAGGTGGAAAACTACTTCTCCTGCCATAATGAGATGCTATGACACTGTCACTTAGACTTTCGAATCCATCTCCATTAACATGTTTTTCAGCCAATCTACCATATCTTCATCAATGTTAGTGAAATCTGGGATTGATGTGGCCAGCTCAAGATAAGCCTATATCTCCTTCTACATTTTCTTCATCATCATAACAATGGTCTAAGATTTTATTCAGGAAAGTTTTATCGTACTTGTAGGTACGTTTCCCAAGCATTATATGCTGTGAAGGTGACATCTCTTAAGATTAACATTTTCAAGAGTTCTTTCATTGAATCTAAGCTATTTTCTTGTAAAAAATGTAGAAAGTTTTCTTGTATCTTCATTTCAATTGAAAAATCACTCTTTCATCCATTAGTTGTATTAAAAAAGTCACATTAGGAGGTAGATAGTACACGAAAATTAGACCTTTTTTAGGTTAGATTCTGAGGAGTGTGAAGGGTCCTTATCAAGCAGAAGAATGGCTCTTTTAGTTACCGTTTCTTCATGAAATTTTTTATAGATGGCACAAAAATGTTGACAAACCATCTACAGAAAATAACCTGATTCATCCCAGTGGCAGATCCATGGGGGAGGGTCTAAGAGTTTTCGTTTGTTACCTCAAAATTTATTTAAAATATTTATGTTGAAATTATGTAATTATTTAAAAATAATCTTGTATTGTTTCATATATGCACTACCAAAATAATATAAAATATAACATGTTTATTATTAAACAAAAATTTATAATCCCTCACACCACACACAAAATAATTGGCTACATCTTCCCTTGGTTCATTCAAGCTTTTGAGACATTGGGCGTTTGTCATCGTTTATTTTCAATTTTTATTTACATTTTTTACTTAACATTTTACAAAGCCCAAGAATATCAGTATTTACAAGATATCATAATCTAATGACGTATTTAAAAATAATACTATGTTATGTTCAAGAGAGCTGATGGAATCAGCATATAAATTCATATTGATGTGATGTGCTAAGTCATTCGTAAGATTCATAAGAGTAGACAGTATCTGTTTGAGCAGCACATTGTAGTTACATATATGTGTATAAAATTTACCAGTTGGTATGCAAATTAAATAAGAGGTACTGATATTGAGATTTCATTTAATAAATAGGAACTTAATAACATGTCTAATAATTTTGATGAAAAGTAGAATTTAATGAAAGTGCTTCCTAATTTTAAGACGTTCGAAATTAAATTTCGTCAATAGAAACACCTTATCAATTCATCTTGTATGATAGTTGCCTTTTGATTTTTAACTCTTAATATTTCAAAAACGCCTTTGACAACTTTCAAGCATTCTATCCAAACAAGAGCATCAGGTGATCAAATAACCAACCCATACTCAAATCTAGACCTCACTGCAGAGTAATAAAAAGTTCACAATATTCGTACATACCCATGGGCTTAATTCTCATGACTAATAACTCTCTTTGATGTTTAAAGCTAAGCTAATGATCAAATATAACCCCCAAGTCTTTTTTGACTTCAACACTTTACAGTTTTATATTTTTATATGAAAAGGGTATTCATATGCATATCGTTCTATAGTAGGACATAACTTTGCACTTGCAAGGGTTTACAGTAAAGCCATTTGTATTACACCACTGGAACAAACAGAAGAATGTCAACTCTTAAGTTATTGTAATCTACAGATAAGAAAAGCACCATGTCACCATAGGTCAATAAATGAGAATTCAATTAAACTTCCATATTACATGTATTAACAACCACTGCAAAAAGCAGGGGACCCAAATTCAAACTTTCTGGAACTCCAAAACTCAGATGGAGGGGAAGACTCAAAACTAGCCTGCATAACTGAAGACATTAACATGCCTCTCCAAGTGAGACTCAATTTAACACATATAATTAAATGGTAAATGTAAATCAAATATTTTTTTCATAATAATATTGTAGAAGAATATCAAATATCATGGACAAGTCAGTGTAAATGACATCAACTTGAGAAAATTCATTAAGATAGTTCATGATATTTTGTCAGAAAGTGGCCAAATTCAAAAATCCATGTTGATGACTAGCTATTGAAGGTTTAAATCCAGAATAAATTGGAACATTGCCATGCATTTCCCATATGTTTGATAAATTGAACAGAAGGGGTCTATCATTTTGAACCATTACTTTGTTTCCCTTTCTAAATACTGAACAAACTTCTTTCCACACCCTAGGGAAAGTGCCTGTTGAGAAAGCTTTGTTTAAGATTAACTTCAATGAAAGGCAAGTGCTTCTCTTCATTCCTTTAATGAAATGGCAGGAACCCCATCAAGTTGAGAAGAAAGGTTGAAAGGCTTAGTTTGTGTTGAATATAAACATCATCAACGGGTGCAAAATTACCCAGCGTATTATGTTTGAAGTCATTACATAATTAAATCATAGGGTTGTGTGAGGAATAGGATTTGGCAGAATTGTCCACATTAGACTGAGGATTTAAATAACCAACATTTTCATATGTTAATAAGCGGGGTATACAACTGCACTTAAAGTCGTATCAATCATAAGTGGCCAAAATCAGGATGTGTTAAGAATTAGGCTATCCACAATATCGTCATTAAATTTCTCATTCTCTCTCATCAATATATTTTGATCTCATGTTTCAAGGACTTTAAAGATTTACCTAAATTAATGCAGACAGGAACTTTACATTTTTTTCAAAGTTTATTTTTAAGTTTGGGTGAGTTAATGATACGTATCAAGTACCAGCTTGGGTATTTAGAAGAAATAGTCAAAATTACTTGTACTTTCTCCGTGATAGTAGTTTCTCATAAAAAGTAATACTTAAAATAAACACATTTATTCCATTACCCAAAAGTTAGAACCAATTAATTCTTGACAACTGTTTTCTGAATTCCTCAAAATTTGCTTTATGGTATTTAAGTGTTGGTGAATAATTATTATTGGCAAAATATTTTTTTGACTCGTGATTGATGTAGAATGAGCAAAATTTCAAGTGACTTGAGATCGAGCTTTAATTTCCTAAATAATTTTCATAGTTTACTTTACTCCATTAAACAAAAATCTGTAAAAAACATTTAATGAAAATCATTTATTCTTGAGAGGAAACCTATAATACTGAAGTAAAGTTAATTATTTTCTTGAACCAATGAATGCACAGCATATGGACATTTATGCCTCCTGTAGGTTCTTTACTATATTTTTATTGTAAAGGAATATTAGTAATTATTATTATTATTATTATTATTATTATTATTAACAGCAGCATATAGGCCGAATCTGACCACATGTTCTCCTCCGAGGACCAGTCATATTCTATCCTATCTATCTTTTCTAATTGCTTCAATTTTTTTCATCTATTATTTTGCTCTTATTAGTACTTGCTTTCAGCCATGTTTCCTTAAATGAAATCAATATTAGTCAAATCATAATGAAACAACGAAGAAATTTTTGTTCTTTTTCTTTTAACATTTTGCATGCAGGAAGTAAATGCATTAGTTTTTGAGATTACTTCTCTTGTATTGCTTGCTCTTCTTAATTATTTTTGGGGCTGACACACCTACATGACATATCACCCAAAGTTGTTGATCCAACGAAAGTTTCAGCAGCAGTTGATTTCTCAGTATTGCATATCGAGATCTTTGGAGAGGAGTACGGTCTCTGGTTACGGACACCTTCAAATCCAGAAGTTGATGGTCCTGATCACAGATATTCAAAACTTGGTTGGCGAAAGTAAGTTTTAGATGTCAGTTTCATATTGCTAACAAAAAGCTGAAGTTTTTAGGATGTCTTCATAATTTAATCCAATATCAGATAATAGTTATTTTGCAATAACATTTGCTGTTTTGATCGGTTGGTGGTGCACAAACAGCCTCCTCATGGATATTAAAAATGATGACATTGTTTAATCCAGTCGTGCATACTCAAAGGATGAGGTCTGAAACTCCTTTCATGACCTCATCCTTACTAGTATTTATATTACCTTAAACCTTACCAACTCAATGCTCCAATGATGTGGAAAATGAAATGGATGTCACTTTCTTCTGAAGATCATCAAATTCGACAGAGAGAGAATCCCATGACTGTTCACTTTAGGGACATCCTCTCTCAAACCTTAATTTCCTTTGTCTGCTTTTTAATTGCAGTGAGCTCAGGCAAGAGATCCTCTCCTGTCAGATATACTGCCAGGAGGGCAGAAAGAGTAGGAGTTAGCAACACACTTTCGAGCACAGCTTAGATGATACGACTTACTGCAGTCTCCACGAAGTACAGCAGATTAAACTTTGCAATTGTTGTCACAATAGCCACACTTAACTGTAGGGCCATGGATTCTGAGCATCCTGCACAGATAAACTGCACTTCTCTCGTTTCTGTTCCTTTAAAGTATCTTAGTTACTTAGCTTTCTCAATTACGGTTATTTTGATCATGTGTGTGCCAATCACATTTCAACATGTCATAATGGTCATTTGTTCTTTGTTAGATTTGTATCCAGATGATTATTTTTCAAATCGTACATTGAGTGATTTCGAGAGTAGCATTTTCCAAAATAAAACTGACTCATCAGCGTTGTACACTTGGTCTATGGTACAATGTTGAGTGTTGACTATGAAATGAATGAAACTATGAATTGAATTTCTCATTGATGAATGTTTCAGCTATCAACTCTGCTCAGAGATTCACCTTACCTTTCCAGCTGCTTTATATCATGTTGAGTGTTGATAAAGGAAGAAAAAGAAGAAGAAAAAAAGAGTATAATGTTCCATGTGTAAAACTAGTGGTGGTAAAACAGCACATACTTTCTGGCCTCTTAGTAACCGTTATGTAATAATATTATACCGCAATTTCTGTTTATGTCAACACATCTCAGTCAATGAGCGCAGACAACAAAGTGTGCATTTAGCAATGGGCGATGTCAATAATGGGCACATACTTTATCAATTCTTGCTAAAAGCGCCATTTTTGCCATAAAAGGAACGGTTTTTTAGTTTGCATTGTTCTGATTTTATGAAAGTTCTTCTACGGCATTCTTTATGGAAGACTATTGCTTGTTTTAAATATATACAATTGTTTATCATCAAGTGTTCAAGACATTTTAAGTTTTTAAATATTTAATTTTCTTTGAAATAAAGACACAACTTAATGACCATTTAATTTTTACGCCAGTTCACACAAAAATACTCATGTTTTCAAGAAATTAATAATGACTTTATTTGAAGACCTACTTTTGATAAACCCACTTCATTAAGAAAAAAAATGTATTTTCACTATTGTACTTATAAAAAGACACTGAAAATGAAATGGCATCAATTCAAGCAGGCTATTATATTTGTCACAAAATTACTCCAAAATAATAATATTTCAAACAATTCAACAACTGCTTTTTATGAGCACATTTCATTAAGAAACAAATTGTATCTGCACAATCGTAGTTGTAGGAAGACTCCTAATTTTTTTGATTTTTAATTTTCACAAAATCATGCATTTTAATGAAAATGAGACCTGCACCATTCTCTTAAGCATCCTTTATGCTACCTATTTTTCAAATAATAAATTAATAAAAAACAGCCCACCAACAAATGTCATAAAAAAGAATATAGCCGTTTTTTGAGCAGAAAAAATTTAAACAAAAATTTAAAAAATTGCCTATATTTAACGCAAAATAACGCTAAAGATACTCAAATTTTTGAAACATTGTTCATGACCTTATTTCAAAATCTATATACAAGGAACAGATTTTATGAAGGGGAAAAATCTCTATCTTTATTATTTTAGTTGTAAGAAGACACCCAAAAATTTTAGATTTTTTTTTTTTTTTTTTTTTTTTTTTTTTTTTTTTTTTTTTTTTTCGAAAAATCAGTTTTCAACAAACATAAGACCTGCACAATTTTCTTAAATGTCCTTCAGAGTATCCAACAACCAAATTTAATCAAAATCGATGGATCCCCCAAAAATTAAAATACGAATTTCAAATTAAAGGGGGCGCGACATCGGCTTTATTGATTGGGGAATATCAATTTTGGAGAAAATCGGCTGAACGGTTTATGCTCTAGCGATGGGAACAGTCGGACGGACGTTTCGCCGTCAACCGATTTGTCGGTGTTAATGATGCACAAAACATAGATTCTGACTTCACCACGTGTTAGAGAATTTTTTTTCTATTTTTCACAGCGGGATTTATCCACTTTTTTCCTTAAAAATGCTATTAAAAAAACATAGTCAATGAACCCCTAACTCCAGAATAATTCAGTGAAACTTTCATCACAATATCTTGAACCATTCAGAAATATTCAAGGTGAATTATATATGCATGTGTGTGCAAAAATAATATCAGCAGAACAAAGCAATATCCTACTCTCCCTCTCTCTCCTCTCTGCCCCCCTCTCTTTCTCACTCTCCTGCGCCCTCTCTTACCCTCCCTCCATCTCTCTTGCACTACCTGCCCTTTCCTCCTCAGCCTCACTGTCACACGGCAATACCCAGCAACAACGAAACTCAGGTCGTTTTTTTTATGTATTTATTAAGAATTACATTTAATTGCAGTGTCATGTAGTGGAGTTTCAACAAAATGAACAGCATTAAACCCTTCTCTATGAAAAAACACGTATATATTCCAACTTTGTCAAATAGAATTTATTGATCGTGAAGAAACAGCGAGAGACTCTGCATCTGCTTTGTTAAAGTATAAAAGCAATATTAAGTTTCACTTATGTAAGCTACAATAACTGTAGGCTATAACAATGTATGATAGAATGTAACTAAAACATAAAAAAATAATTTTGTTAAAATATCACTTGCATCTTTCCCTGACAGGCACTCTAATTATAATGACAAATTCTTTCTTTTAAGTGTTATTTCAAAAATTCAATTCTTGAAAATATTTTGTTCTGCACTCAACTAGAAAACTTAATTTTAATTGAAGAATATGTATGTCATTGAGAAATGTATTGAGTAGATTCTGAAATAAGAACTAACTGGCAAGACGTATGGATGTCCGTATGTACATATTTACGTACGTATGTATGTATGTACGTACGTACGTATGTATGTACTTGGTGTGACAGCCCGTGAATGATCTCATGCTCAGACCAGCGTCGTCCCAGCCTCACGGGCCATGGGCTAAAGGGGTATGTGTGGTTAGCCATGCCGTATTCTGGTCTTCTTAACCTGAGAAGTGAATTCTCTGTGTCGCACAGCAACGTATACTAGGTCATTGCAAGGAAAACGTACACTGTAGACTTGGCTCTACCAGGAATCAAAGCCAGGGCCGTGTAGTGAATAGGAAGCACACTGACCTAGAGCTAACCATGTGCCCAAAATAAGAACTTGCAGAATTAAATTAATTTGGTGAGATACCAAATTTTCAGATAACCACAAATTATTAAAATTGAAAGAAATATTGTAAAAATTAGAGACAAATTGCATTATTTTTAGAATTTCCAAGTTTGAAAAATTGTTCTGAATTTATTATTTTGAAAAAACTTCAATTTCTGAAACTTTTAAGAGATCTATTAATTCTGCAGTCTTGTATTCTTCTCATGTGCCATATTCACAACCTACTTCTTCTTCTTCTTTTCCTTTCTTTTTCTTTTCTTTTCCTTTCTCTTTCTTTTCTTTTTCCTTTCATTGAAATGAAATATCACATTAATGTTGAGAAAAAAGCAAATAAAACATTGTATTTTAACACATGACGCCATGAAAGTTACATAAATTCAAGCTTGAAAATCGTGATGAGAATACTCAATGATCAAATGAATGTGGAAAAGTACCACCATGTAATTGTCAAAATGTACAACTGTGACCAGGTGATGAAATGTAAAGTGTTACTGCCACAGGGGCTCTTAATTCCTAAAGGCTGTTCGAAGAGTTAGCTGTCTCAGTAGCTCAAGTTGTTAGAGCAACTTATATAGAGAGAGATCGTGGTTCGATTCATTGTTGGGCTGTCAATTCTTTGAGATCAAACATGTCTCTATTATTATTGTGTTTGTTTCACTAAGGTAAATTAAGCATAGAAATCTTACTTTTATTAAGTTGTTGATTGCATTAGTAAGCATATAAATTTGGGTCAACATTGTTTTTAGCCAATTCAAAAACATTTATTGTGGGCGTTGTATGAAACTGGCCCACAAAATGAATCTCTTGTAGAGAATTGCAAAGAGATCTGTCTTAATATAAAGAGAATTTGCACAGCTGCATAACTGTGAGCAGGCTGTTGTGTAATGTGTCAAATATAGTTTTTCAGGGAGTTCAAGTATAAGCCTTTTAAAGTGTTTCAAAGAAATTATGAAGATGTCTATTATCAGTTAAAGTATAAGTAAATTATGATCTGCAGGCAGCAGTCCTCAAGTACGAGAATAATGTTATGAACATCAGGCAATTTAACTGCTCCCCCCATCCATACTGGTTACCTAACTTCATGGACGTCTTCACATGGTCCTTACCATTTGTAGGAGAAAAAGGTAAGCATTATTTTCATTATTAATGTTTTAATGCACCTTTTATTGATATTTGAATGCTTAATTGGTATTTTCTTGTCTCTTTTTCCAGTGACCGAAATGTTGGTAAATGTTCTTAACATTTGCTCTGATGATGAACTAATGTCTGATGGAGATGATGCGCTTGAAGAAGGTAGGTGTTGTTTTTCATCTTTAAATGATAGGTATAATAAATTCACTTTGTTCTATACTACTTGTGTGATTTTAATATTACAATAATTATTGATATTGAAAGATAACTTCATGCCATATATGAAAGAATGATACATTTTTAAATTTTTAGTATTTTATATTTAATAAAAGGTCATTAAATAAAAATAAGATGAATTACTAGAATTAAAATTGTACATGTTCTGTGACTGATTTAAAAATTACTTCTATGTATTGTTTATTTCCTTTCATATCACATTCCATCACCTCTTTCATGTATGTTTGAAGGGAGGCTTATTTTGGCCTACATTGATGGTCTCCTCAAATCTACCATTTCTATACTGCTATAAGCAGTAGTAAAATACTGGGATGCTGGGCTACCTTTTATATTGCAACTGGGACTCTAGCCTGAGATATATGTAGATTGTAATGGGATGGTGTTATTGAGTGATGGGAAACACAAATTTTTATTTTTATTTTAATTTAACAGTTTTTGATTCAGATCTTTCCTTTTGGTGTACCTATCCTATTCCTTTTTTCCTCATTGATAGATATCTAAATCAGTTATATTGATCTGGATTTGTCATTCTTTGTCATTGTTCATGATGGGACAACCAGATGGTAAGAATCACTTATCATTTGCAATGTGTCAGTAGTTGTGTGTCTGTAGTTGGCCTGCACAGGTTCCATGAAATCATGACATCATCACTTCCATCACAGTACTCTCCATTATTAGCTTTTGGTTGTAGATATGTACATGACCTCTTGGGTTTGACAGCACAAATCAAACTGAAATTGTTCATCTATTTATTTAGTTTTTTTTAGCCTTTTCTTTGTTCACACTTGATTTGACATATTACTCTGTACATACCTGTATTGGAGCAGTCACCTTCAGTTAAGCAAAACAGTCCAAATATAAAATAATTTTTAAATGTACAAATTCTCAATGTTTGTTACAACTTGAAGGTGATGGCTTAAATGCAGGTCATTGGAACTTGATTGTGTGGATTTGTTTGAACACTTATCTCAAGTAGACATGTTATACGGACATACTCTTTGTGCCTAATTCCTGTATACTGGGAACCTGTATACCAACTTAAGACTGAAATCCATAAACATAATCTGTTTCTATGCATTCTATTGTGTTTCTCTATTTCCATATTTCAAATTATTTATTATCTAATGAAATATTGCTTATTGATGTAATTTGGTTCGTCTCTTTTTGAAAAGCTTGCTCTCTTATTTTGATATTAAATTTTGGTAGCTCTTAATGCATTCCCTAGTAGACTTAAAATTGCACTTGAAATGCAATTTCATTGTTGATGTTGCCCCTCTATCTTGTCTCAATTATCATGTGTCTAAATTCCAAGCTGAAAGTAGATTGCCCCTCTCTTTGGGAACATACATTAAATGAGCTTCCCTCTTAAATCTATATCTTTTCACGCCCCCAATTACTTTATTTTCTCAACAATTGCACCTTCTGACTGCACTTGTACCTTCTCTATATGCATTGGGACTCTCAATTGCCGGGTGCACAGGGAAACTTTTTATACAAAAGAATGGTAAGTTTCTTGTGCAAGTTTTGGGTTTCTTATTGGTTTTTTTACTCATTAAATACTAGAATCACCAAATATACCTAATATATTCACCTTAGTTGTGTGCTTTTTTATCTTGATTTCTCTCTCCATTGGCACATGATATTTGTATTACAATTATGTAAAATCAAAATCGGAATTCCTGGAGAGATTTTGTTTGTTGATATTAATATTAATAGCATGTCGTGTGCTTCACTACAGTTGAGGTCTTGTGACTCTACCAGTACAGTCTGTTCAATCTTGTGCTTGAAATGAGGAACTTTAAACTAATGTCAAGTGCCACTGTAATAACTGTTTTCTGAAGGATTGTATTTCACTAAAAGAATAACAACTAAGAAATATTAAAATCGATTAAGAACATACATGTGTATATATTTTTTTTTAGGGTTTTAATGTAATGCTTTGCTGGGAAAATGTTATATTTTTGTTTATGTAGTAATTCTTTGAAATACATTATTTCTTTTTGCCCAAAATTGAAAACTCCATCTCTTTTCCGGTAAAATTGATTGGTGCTAGTTGTCCAGTCATAACCTCTACTTGGTGAGATTGAGCCATAGAAGGGCCCTCTGTTGTTGGCCTCAGACCATCAGTCTGTGCCAGTTCTACCCTGGTGTGAAATTTTCCCTGCATTTGGTGTTGCCTGTGTTGTCTGTGTGCGAGGTTAATTTTTTTTAAGCAAGTGACATGGTTTTATTACAAACTTCTATAAAAATGACTGTTCATTTTGTTTATTTGTGGGGTAGGTGCATGATACTCTTTGCATCTAATTTTGCTGTGTTCATAGACTAATTGTTAGATTGGCTTCTTAAAAATCTTCAGTATTAATTTGTGTAGGTTACTTCATTGTACTGTACCATTTGCTGATATTGATAGTGTGTTGTCATATCCATCAAATTAGATTAGAAAATATTCATTACAGATGAATTTATTTTTGTAGTACATTGAAGATATTAAGAAAACATATAGAATGTTTATTGCTTAAATTAAAATCTTTTAGTTTAATTTAGTATCACTCTGACAAAAATCAGTTGCATTCTAAAGATAAGTTCATGTGGATACAATGTTGTCCATATTTTTATGTCTGGAATTTTTCCTGATTTTGGAGGTGGATGGGTAAAATATAACTTTGGACTTCATTGTATCCTATTCAGAATGGAGAAGTCAAGTAATCAGTAGATAAAATCTGCCAGTTGGTTTTATGTGGGTATCCTCAGTCTCTCTTGGAACAGAAATAGAAAATAAATGAAATATTTTTGGAAAAAAAATAAACTTTTAATGATATAGTACTTTCATACAAATACTTGAATGAAAATTAATGTTTAGGCAAAGAACCTTTCATGCTTGTATACAAATCACATTACTATCGTCTGACAGTGATTATTTCCATCACATTACTATCATCTGACAGTGATTATTTCCAAGAGTTACATATTCAGTACTTTTGGTGGCTGTTCATTTATTTTTTGATAATCATTTAATGAATATTAATATGCTTGAATTTATGTCTAAAATAAAAAGTCTACCTTATGTGGTGCAATATCTGCTCAAGACTTGGTTTCTGCTTGTTGATTTTCTGTTACTTGTGCCATTTTGGCAAGTTTGTTAGAAGTACAGTGATAAATGGGATATGAATTTTTAGGAATTAATCAGATTACAGTATATTTTTCTTCTACAAAACTCACTGTGCTTGTAACATTCTTCATCAGAGTATATGGATACTTGTTGTATCTATATAAAATATTGTTTAGTTAAGGATTTTAGTTGATACTTTATCTGTATGCACTCTTTTTATCTCCTTACTCCGTGTCTGTACTGCCCACTCTCCTGGGGCATGCATCTGTCTCACTCGGATGCGGTATGTGGTAAGTGGATCAGAGTCTGTTCTCAGCTTGGTGCAATGGATGTAGAGCATTTAGTGTGACCTGTCCTCCTGCTGTTGTAGCATAACCTGATGTCTCACTTTGTAAAAGGTGTTTTTATACAAACCATAAACTAATGTGCCTGAACCAGTAACATTGCATCTAGTATGAGAAATTCAATGTTTTTTGTAGAATGTGAATTCAAATAATGAAATTATTGTATTGAAAAAATGTGGTTTTACAAGAGTGTAATACAAGGCCATAAAGTAGGAGTTTTTTGCGACATTTTAGTTGATGTGTGTATGTGATGTCACACTAAAAGCCTGCCTTTAGACTCCAGCTGTAGAACTTACTATGTGGTTGATGTTAAGGAAGCTCCCACATACTTCCTTGAATGAAATGCTGGCAAAAGTCTCGCAGCACTGGGAGTTGTTGGCCTTGAGTAAAACTATTGTGTGTGTGTGTTTATGTTTAATGAATGCTCTCATGTTAAAAATTGTGTGTGGTGATAGAATATTTACCAATTCTGATCATGTAAAGAAAAATTCAATGTTGGACAATGAAACTCATTGGAAAATGAGTTATTCTTGTTTTCTGTGTTGAGCATAGAATGAACGTTCATCTAAATATCTGTACCCCAGCATGCATTTTTGTTCTTGAAATAGGGCTTTCTATGTTCATTTTCATAATCGTGTTGAACAAGTTCATATTCAAATGCAAAATTGTGACACAGCCAGTAGAATTTATACAAAATATTTCGCATTTCTCCTTTATTTGGAATAAATAAAGGAGAGAATACAAACATGTAAAGAATTAAAATATTTTTAATTGATATTATTGGGAATAATATTAGCTTGATATAAATTTGATAATGAAAATATGGAATATCAAAAAAGTGGTAATTGTATGGCTGTATCACATCTATCCGGATGTTCTGTTTCAGTCTATTTAAATTGATCATGTGTTTATGTGTGCAGCTTTACAAGAAAATAGACACAAGTTATACTTATCTGTTAGTTATCCAATAGGAACATTCTACTAAATGTTGTTGCTATTCCTGACCTTATCCCATAGATTATGTCAGAAAAACTGTTGATAAATGGATGTGTAGTTTATTCATCAAGTGTGGTAGTTAATGTTCAGTAATGGGCGTACAAGTAATTACATTTGTTGAACATGCTATCCAGCTGTGTTATTTTTCTGTGCCCTTCCTCTAGCTATTGCATGCAATAAATATATAGTATGTTCTGAAATCATAGCAATGTAGCTCTGTAACTCTGACTCGCTAGAACATGCTAGTGTAGTCCACTGTGCTATTGTGCAATTTTCACTGGTGTCAATGTGATGTCTTCCCATGTGGTGTAAATATTTATAGCTAATTGTGGAGTGCACCATAGGATCTACAGAATGATGTTTAGAATGCTGCACTGCCCATGTACATAATTAACTTGCCTTTTGAAGGATAGTAACATTCATAAGCTCTTTTCATATCAGTATTGCTCCACTGTTGTAAACATTAGATAGAAAAAGTAAATTGTTGCCTTATTTAAGACATTGTTGATAGTTGTCTAATTGTATACATTCATTTTTAGGGGCAGCTGCCAACTTGCGCAAGGAAGTCATTCGGAACAAGATCCGTGCTATTGGGAAGATGGCACGTGTATTTTCTGTTCTGAGGTATGTCTAAATGATTCTGTCATCTATCATAGTGTTGTAGATGGGGTTACTACAAGTAGTTCCATAGTAAATTCTTTGAATTACAAAGAACAATAATAATTGTAAAAAGAGCAATAATAATAGATTAAAAATGAAAACTTGTACAGTTAAAATTTTACTTTTTTACTACAGTGTGATAAGATGCAGTATGCTAAAGTAATGCATTGTTTCTTAAGAATAGTGTAGCCACTTTTGTCAACTTATAGCTTTTTTTTTTTTATACCAGCAATATAAATGACAGTTTCCATTGCAAGAAATTATTCAAAAAAGGGCATTTTAAGACACATGTGGCATTTTATGGCCCAGTGTTTTCTCTCCACTTGACTTCCCCTTTGTCCTCTGCCTGAACTGTTTCCTCACCTGACTTCCCCCCACCCTACCTGCTTCCCCGTCAGATGTACCTCCTGCCCTCCCCACCTGCCCTGCCCCC